CTGGAACAAACAGGACTTTTTGCACATAGGCATTTATTTCACACCTACCCCGGCTCTTCTCTGCCCTAAAACAAACATGCATGAGCTTAGGATTACCAGCTCATAACCAAAGCACTGTAACTCACATGCAAGGAGTGGTACAAGGCTGGGCTAATAATGCATTCTGTCCCTCTGTGTGACACAGCAGCAAACACGAAGGGAAGATAGATGGGTATTTCCTCTTGATAGGCTCCAAGAGAAATTGCATTTCAGACAGGCTGAATCCATCCATTCTAGTCAAATGCCACAACATCCCAATTTGCAAGCTATGTCTCCTTACTCATGGTAGCTAAAGGAAAATAGCTCAGACATCAGGGGTAGAAGTTTCTTTTGCTGCTGGTGAGTTAAGAGAGTATGTTCAAAACAGCAGTAAAAAATCTGGCTAACAACTCAGAAATATCTGCATTCGTTTGTGCCTCTGTTACAGCGTTGATCTCCCTAGAGATCTTGCAGTGGCACGGAGATTCATACGAAAAGCTGCAGTGCAAAACACCAAGTGGCCTGCACTCGGCTTGTTTGTCACACTGGGTGCCTTCTGGAGCTGAAAGCCTTAAATGCATCAGGTGAACACATTTGTGAACAAGGTAACAAGCTCTCTAGCAGTTTCTGTGTTTGCCCTGCTAGAACCATACAAAATCATACCAACCAAAGACAGAGGGACACAGGGATGGCAGTCAGATATGCAACAGGAAAGGCTGTGTTCACAGCACTTTGTCATCTGGATTGATTCTACATCTCTGTTAAGGTCACAATTAACCCTTCAGCAAACAAGAGGAACACGCAATCTTCACGCTACCAAATACAAATTGTTTTCTAGCTAAGATAATTTTCTCCATTAATGGCAGCAAATACACAAAGGTACTGGGGATGATGATGCACAAAGTCCATCAATCACATATCATGCATAATGTGTATGCAACAACTGTTCTCAGCAGCCAACAGCCCCAATCTACTCTGCAGCTACCAGAACTGGGGCCAATAGTTACAGAAATTAATTGCTGCGGCTGCAAAATTACAAGGGGGAGAGGTGAAACTCAGAGTGTTTCTTGCTTCAGGGCAATTCTCGACTTTATTACTAGTTAATTTCACAAAGGGAGGCCTTTGCAATTTAAAATCCTCTGTCTGTGCATTGACCTTTGTTACCATATGAGTGTTTTTCCACAGCTGCAGTTGAAAACCCTGTTTCACTTTCACTGTTATTAAGCAGCATACTGAACACTAGAAAATCATCCTTGTGGAAATAATGCCACACAAGATACTACTAAAATCACAGGCTTGTGTTCCTCTCACCCAGCACTCCCCACAGGCCACAACACAAACTGGTCTTTCAACATTGCTTTCCAAAGGGGCAAACTAGGGCAGCCCAGCCCACCCCAGGATGTGCTGAGAAGCGACATAATGAATTACCCAGTGTAACTGCTCCCTTCACTCTGCCTATAGATGTCTAGACTCCACGCCTCATTTTTAAGACAGCTGAAGCTGGATGAGATGAACACTGTCCAAGTGATCACATCTGAAGAAGTTATCGACTCAAGTGCTGGAACATCTTAGTGACAACATACAGAAAGCTTCTACGCTGCAGCGCACAACCACCACACCCGCACATTCCTGCTGACCCACTCTTACTGAATTTTAGGCCCTCTGCAAAGAAGGAAATGGAAATTTTTCATCCCGTCAACCTCAGAGATTAGTACCACTTCTAATTAAAAGGAGAGTTTTTAGCCTGAAATGGTCTTCAGAATTTCCCTGTTGCACTGGAAGGAGATGAGAGGTGAGGAACTTCCCTACCTACTGTCGTTACTACTCTGCTTTAAGGCTTCCTGTGCATGGACAATATCAAGACAGAGTCAGTCTTTAAACCAAGCAGGAATTCTAGAGGTCATATGAAGAAATACTGGCAGTGCTGTTAAATATCATAACGTCAGATTATTTTTAGTCACTTTTTACTCCATACTGTCACTGTATGATCCTGCCCTTCTGATAATTGCATGTCATCCTATAGGAGAACAACTGTCCACGCTGCAGAGGGTTAATCATCTCTTGTAAGTTGCTAAGCAACGGGATTCTGCTTTTAGGGCATGTTTTGTCAGCGAGGGCTGTGGCAATGATACAACCTTACCCAGAGACTTTTCTAAAAACTTGTCTGCAGCAATAGCAACAACCCCCCCCCACTCCCCCTAAGGCTGCTCACCAGCTCAGAAAAACCTCTAATTTTCTAATTGCTTTGATAGATTTAGTTTCCTCTTCCAAAATAAACATTGATTCATAGTATTGTAATATAATTTAAATGATAAAAGAGGACTAACTAAAGCATAGCTCAAAAAAAGAAAGAAACCCCAGCATTCAGCAATATTCAACATCCTACTAGGAATTCACTTCAATAACATATCCCAAATACAATCAATAAAAGCAAATTTATGAGTGCAGAAATTCAGAAGCTACTTTCAGGCTTCAGGGCTGGTCCCTTGTCCTCAGGAAGGGCAGTCATAATGAGGGTACAGACACAGGAAAGACGAGCCAAACTACACTAAGAGTGCATGAGTCACCATTGAGGGCTGGTAACACGTTAGTTAACCAATCTCAGTTCTCTCCAATTATCTGACCATAGGTTCTTCATAAGCATCCAAACTGGGAAAGAAGGATCCACTCTATAACGAGCAAATCCAGAAAAACCACTCATGAGTTCCTTGGGAAGTTAAGTTTCAGGGACTTGCCTCTGAACAAAACACTGAAACTCACACAGGAAAAAAATGAAGATTGTTTCAGACAGTGCAGATGGAGATCAGACATACACGTCAGTCCCAGCTCAGCTTCAGTCATTTAGTGTCAGCTAATCTCTGTGAATCAACAAAAACAAAATATTTCTGCTGCCAGCACTTTCCAGAAAAAAAAAAAAGAAAAAAAAAGACCACTAATCAGATTTTCTGGAGCCAGGTTTTGCTTTGTTTTCCCCTAATTTCTTAGCTGTCTCACATAATGGCCTACTTAGGGCATTAAATATTCTGGTCTGTGTGTTTCATACATGGGAGGATGTATGAACTGACCGAACTCCTGGCTGCTGTGATGCCCACAGCTGTGCAGGAGCAGAAACACAAGCACCAGAAGCACAGAACCATGAATCCACCAGCTCTGCACCAGATCCTGCTCCCTGCTGAGGCATCCAGAACAGGATGAGGCAGTCCTGCTGCTTTCTGCCACAGCACCAACTACTGCCATGCAAGGCTAGATCATAAGTAGCCCAAGATTCAGCCCAGGTGTGTCACTGCTGACCCCACTGGGAGCACTGGCTGAATTCACCATGCAAGAACTGTGAGATGAGTGGATCCAGAGTGGCCCTACATTCTATTTATGTCTTTTTTGTTGTTATTAACTTGGCTAACAGAACTGGCCCACCATTCTGGAATGGTGATCTTTGGTCACTCTGAATGTTTACTAGATCTCAAGAAAGTAAAAAGAAACTATTTTGCTCTAACAGGTGGGCTGATGAATACTGCCAGGTATGTGGTCAACAACTCTCATGACCAGGATCACTACTTGGAAGCAGAAAGGATGCCTACATAAAAGTAGGTCTGTGCATAACGTTTGCCTTCTGGCAGGTCAACCTAAGCAAGTCTTTTGGCATAATACTGTATTTGGGTGAAGGAATATTACATCATATTGCATCAGTATATAAAGATGGCATTAGACGACAAATTCACATGGAGAGAGATGAAAATATACAATATTTTGAGGCTGGCTATCCTAAAGTTACTGAAAAATAAATGATGCATCTAGCTTCCCTTTAGTCTAGTCATACCTTATTTCGGTATTTTTCTCTGTGGGATTTATGAATGGCTTCAAACAAAAGAGCCATTTTGATAAGAACGCAGGGGTTTACTGAGTTCAGTTAGTTTTCATCTCAAAACAAAAACCTGTATTTCTTTAAATGAAATTCATTTCACCTCTAGCTCATATTTAAACCCTTGTAAAGTACTTGTATTTGTGTTTCAGCCCTTTTTTTCAGCCGTGGCCTGCAGGCCAAAGAAAACCTGCACACTGTTAAGCTAGCTGCTACATCTCTACCTACTTCAACAAAGTTCGCGGCCTTGGAGAAGGCAACATCCCCCCTTCATGTCTTTAAGTACCTCCTTCTGTATCTGAAGTTCAATAGAACACCAGCTACCCAGGAATCCATTCAGAGGTTTTCACGTAGTTCTTAGCAATAAATGTGGACAGTGACTCAGTGGCTGGCTGCAGGAAATGAGTCACAGAGCAGCATCTCTCCTTACTGAGCTGGAGTGTCCTACCCTGCGCCAGTTCCTCCCAACTCCAAAGTGATTGGATTATGCTCCTGCTGTATTCTCTGAAAGGAGTTAATGAAATAAAGCTGGAGGGAAGGGCTCTGGATTCCAGCCCTGCAGAGACAGGGCTCCCCACAGTGTACCAGGGGTACTGTTTCTCTCCATTACACAGAAAGGCAAGTACCTTCCATCAATCACAGTCCCAGCTGATGCAACCCACATTCTTACAGAAAACAGAACAGGAATGGGCCTCTGAAGGTCAAGCGGTCTTCCTCCCTCCTGCATAATATTATTTGAAATAACTGATTAATACAACCTGAGTTATTTCTATGGGACGCAGAAAAGCACAGAAATACCCTGACAAACAAAGCAAATCTGAAACAACCTCTCCTGCATACGGCATGTAGGTCACTCCCACACTTCTCGAGTGTGTTGTAATACAGGGAGACATGAATTTGGGGCACCATCATTTCGCATTACAGCCACTAAACACAGTATAAGCCAAGGCTATAAATTCTTTAAAAAATATCAAGCAAAACTGACAGCAGCATGCGGTTACTCAGGAACAGCAAATTAATCTTTGTGTCCAATTAATCCACCTGCATTCTTTCTAGTCTCATTACCCATGCACCACAGCCATTCTCTTGTTGCAGTATCCAGATTAGATCTTTTTGAGCTCACATTGCCTCAGAAACCTGCCTCCACTGCGGGACACGACTCAGAATATATCAAGCTCTTCTCGTGCAGTTGCTTCCAGCCATCTTCCACTGAAATCCTCTCCCAGGAGGGACTGGGATAACCCGTCATCTGCTAGGTTAGCTTAGTTTAAAGATGCCTATTGGAGACAAAGAAAAGTAGTTATTTAAAGTGCTGACTGAAAATATACATATGGTCATATTTTTCAGCAGCTCTGAATTCTCCCAACCTTGTAATTTTCTAGTATTCTCATAAATCTACATATAGCTGCATCTGATATTTATGTACAGTCAGACTCCACTTAGCCAGGGAAATGGTACTACATGGAAGGAAGCCATCTGTTCTAAAAACAATCAGGTTGACCTTGTTTTCCAGGAGGCTTGGAGCTAAAAGACAGACACGTCCTTGCCTCTCTTCGGAGACACACTATCACACTCTCAAAATGCAGAACAGCTTCATGGGAACATGCAGAGTTCCTGTAATAAAGCATAGAGAAGCAGCGCTTGTGGCACGCAAGAATCAGGCTGACAAAGCAGGGGGTGCTCAAAAAAGCTAATTTTAGTCTTGTTAAATGCTCAAAGCATGCTCCACAGTGACTAGACTCCTGGCACAGGGCTGGGAGCAGGATTACAGCCACACTGTCACCGCTGCCCTGGCCAGCACCAGCCCTGCCCCTGCACTGAGCACATCAGCCCATGCTCTGCAACAGGGCGCCCCATCTTCATGGGCAGAGACATGGCTTGAACCATGACTGACTCTGGGGATGCCTCTGAGCTTTGGGAAACAAAGATTAGGCAGCAATTGCACCAAGGTCAGGCCTTTGGTGCCTTACCTGTGATGCTAGCTTGCATCTGGCATGTTGGGGTCATCTGATGTCTTGGTTGACACATGAGGTACAGTTCTTTGTAAATCATGTGGGGTGGTGTCGCACCAAGAATGGATACTGGAAAAGAAACTCAGTCCTGGCTCAGAAGAAATCCTAAGGCATTGGAGAAACATCTCTTCAAAGTTTTTAACTTGTTTAATTTAACTTACAAAACTGTTCTTACGGAGGAAACAAATAATAGAAATGTCACAATACAACCTTTGAGTAATCCATCAATTATTAATGATATAACAAAATATAACACAAATATAACACAAACTATGGCATTACAAGATTTGCTGTGTAAGGCACCGACTGCAGCCTCAGAGAGGCAAGAGGTTTGAGGAGTCTGGACAAGCTCTCCTAAGCAAAAATTAAGAGGCCAGAAGTAAGGCGGCCATGAGCTGACCCTATGGACACTGTGCTTTTTAGTGCAGCATCTACTCTGACCAGAAAGCAGAGCTGCAGCAGGCAGGCCTGCATCCCAGTGATGGAGCTTGCTAATCATGTGAATCATTCTCCAGTTATTATTTTTCCAGACAAACTCAAACTTTGTTGCTGGGTACAGAGAGCAAAGGATTAAATGGCTGGCTGAATCGGTTATTTTTAAAATAAACTATACTTGCTTTGTAATTAGAAGAGAAAAATGTGTCTGGAGAAAGTTTTCAAGCTTGTTTGTAAACCTGCCTGCCCTTTGCACAGAGAATACTTCCAGCCTTGATAAGCCAGAGCAAAGCCTGCAGGTGCCTTCATCCACACAGAGAGGCCTCCAAGGAACTCAGCATCACACAGTCAGGCTTCAGCGTCTCAGATTTCTCGTTGCTAACTGCTGCTCAGTTTTGCAATATATCTCACATGGGCAATTTCTCTGGGAGGCTTTTAATAACCTCTTCAGGCTTTATTGCTTTCTTGCCTCTACATCTTATACTTTTATTTTTTAATATGATACTTAACTACGCAACGCATCTGATTTCTCAGGAACAGTGACTCTTCAGTAGGTCCCTTTAATAAGCAAATCAAAAAAGCATCTTTTGTTGAGTCAACTGCCGCACGACACTTGACACGAGGCCTCAGAAACTGTGATCTTTCTAGATTTTAACTGATTTTCTCCTTTTGATTTTGTTTTATTCCCATGCTTCAAAAGTTCCTGTTTGATTTCTTCCATTTTCAGTGTTCCACAGCATTTCAATACCAACTTTGCTTTAAAAGATCACTTTCATTATTATCATACACCATACAAAATGTGCTCTATCCACAAGCAAGATTTGATTTCCTGATACGTTTTCCCCTGCTAGCATAAATAACCACCTTAAGCTGTGATATTCAAGCGGGGCTCTATCCCACATCCCAGACTCACTGGCTTGTGGTGCTTTGAATCTCATAATATCTCTGATTATTCATAAAGCTAGATATAACATCATTAATCTATTAGAAATACATCCTTCAGTATTTCAGTTTTCCCAGAGCTTGAAATGAATAGGAGCTTGAAAACAGCTTCTGCCTACACATCAGTGGGATATCATAAATCCATGAACACAATGCCCAGAGGCAGAAAGGTTTTTCAGACTCAAGTGATTTCATAGCATACTTTTTTCTCCATTCTTCCAACGTCAGCCAGAATAGCAACTTTCCACTCACATCCTTGTAGGCGATTGAAGTAAATATCCACAAGCAACCTCACTGCCCTCACTGCCCAGCAGTCCCATTGTGTGGGTGAAGTTAATCTAACACTCTGTTTTCCTGGTTTTACTGCAAACTTCGGTAATGGGATTACAAAGACAGCAACTATTGCCTAAAGCACTTGAACAATGAAGATGAGCTGAACAGTGAATAATTCATCATACAGGAATGCATCCAACCTGGACCCTGGTGGAGGTAAGTCCTACTCTTCTGAAGCTGAACCTAATAAACTCTCTGATTGCTGCATGTCAGCATCTGGAGTTTAGGCTCATGGCAATGACGTGTACAACACATCTTCCCAAGACACTGAATCAGCATGAACTTGAAATGATGGACTGCTGCCTCACAAACAACCCCCTGAAGAAAGACACAGGTGAGCAGAAGCATTGGTGAACATAGCTGGGCAGCTCTGCTTCCTTTGAGAATGTATATGGTGGATAGCAGCAGGCTATGAGATACGGCAGATCTTCAGTCTTTCTGTAAAATACACACCTTGCCCTGTCTAAGGCACTTGCTTCCTCTAGAATACAGAGATATTGTCAAACAGGTTGTAGCTACAGAGATAGATACAGAGTAGCTGGTGATGAGAGCTGTGTTACATAAGCTTTGCATGAAACTGCTAAATCATAGACGTGCCTGACTGACACTGAGGACTCCGAAGGTTATTTACAGGGATATCAACACATCAGTGAGATAACTGTCCTCCCCCCTCGCTCCCCAGTACCTGGATTCTAGCAGATCCAGGTAAATCAACTGAGTCTTCATAATGAAAACAGAAATTTAATTATTCACAAGCATTCCCCTTGAGCTTTCTCTGAGCTTTTTGTGAATGATTAACAGAGCAGCTGCTCCAGACAGCTCTCTCAGTCCCTGCTTGCTGGCCTGTTAAAAGCAGTGACTCATCAGCACATGACGTCAAACCCTCCACTCCTCTGAAATGGCAGGAAGGAGGTTTCATTAAAAAGATAAAAAAAGGTATCAACCTAACAGCCTGAGCTTCCTCCCAGGCACACGCTGTTTGGCCAGGGGTCATCTCTGCTGTTTGCCTGCTCCCTCTGACGGTCAACCTCTGTTTTTGTTCAACACATCAAGCATACCTCCTCGTGCAGGCTGGTGCATTAGACCCTGACTCAAAACAAAACCAACAGCGTAAGGTCTCCTGCTAGAACCTGGCAGTGCTTCCAGGAACATCACCAGCAGGGCTGGGCCTCTCCCCAGGTGCTCAGAGTTCACTCAGATGCACAGTTCTTGCAGCTGCCCAGGTAATGCTCTCCACTGCCGCCCAGGCACTGTGCTAGCTCTGCACCCAGGGCCGAGCGCAGGCTGCAGTGGCATGCCTGACCAGGAGCACTCTTGGCCTGTAGCGGGCAGCAGACACACAGCTCAGATCCTGGCTGCTGCAGGGCAGCACTGCTCGCAGCCAGCAATGCCAAGATCCCCAGCGTGCTACTGCGAGCCAGAACTCTGCTCTCACCAAGTCCCTTCCCCACAGGTACTCTGTTAGGGCTCACACACACAGCTGATGCAGTGCCAGGGCTGGGGAATGCTGCTGCAGTACAGCCCTGCTCCCACATGCACTTTTTCCTGCTTGCTGGCTCAGGCCCCAGTGCTGGGCACAAAAGCCTGAGGATGAACGAAGCAACTGACCTGGAACACACAAACAGGCTGAATGATCAGGGAATGCATGAAAGGGATGGAACACCTCCTCTGTAAGGAAAGGCTGAGAGCTGGGGCTGTGCAGCCTGGAGAACAGAAGACTCTGGGGAGACCTAAGAGCACCTGCCAGTGCCTAAAGACAGGCTGTTAGGAGGAAGAGGACACACACATTAGCAGGGCCTGTTGTGATAAGACAAGAGGAAATGGTTTCAAACTGAAAGAGGAGATTTAGATTGCACATAAGAAGTTTTTTTTTTTTACAATAATGGTGGCAAAGTATCAGCACAGGTTGCCCATGGATGCTCTGCCCCTGAAGACACCAAAGGTCAGGCTGCAGCAGGCTCTGAGCACCTCATGGTGCTGTAGGTATCCCTGTTCACTGCAGGGGAGTTGGACCAGATGGCCTTTAATTAAAGGTCCCTTCTATCTCAAGCTATTTTATGATGATTCTACGAAAAGCAGCATTACAGGCAGCCTGCTATCAGAAGAGACCACCCAACTCTTCTATATAGAACTACACAAATCAATAAACAGTAAATGAAGATTAACATTGCTTTTACATTACTTTAGAACACTCACAAAAAAACTGGCTTCTGGGTGCCTGTCTGAACCCAGGCAGCAAAGCACACCACAATCACTGTCATCTCTCCTGCTGTGCATCCTCCTAGAATCCTTTAGCAAAGAAATCCTAGTGGGCCTGAAGGTTGCACACATCTCATAATGTCGTCCATGGGCCCCAACTAACATTCACTTCCCATCACTGCAGTTCCTATTTCAATTTTTTGACAAGCAACCACGAGCCACAGCTGAATATGGCTCACACATGGGAGCTGAGGTACACCACCCTGAAGGCACAGCTGCCCACCCACCTCATTGATCTGTGTCACCTAGAAGCTGCAGACAGCAAAGCAAAGTCCTTTCAAAGCGTGCTGCATAGAGAAATGCAATAAGATTTCTTCGTCCATGCTTGCTATCATAAGAAATGCCGGGATCATCTTACAGGAAAGAGAGCTGGAGGGGGGGCATTGGGAAGGGTTCCCCCTGGCAGGCAGTTCAGCTCCTGGACAGACTGTCCAGGAACATTTTAGGATCTCCACCACAGGCTGACTGGGAGAAGTCAGAAAAATATCACCCAGATACAGCTGAAGGGCAGCTGATCCTGCCTGGGACTGAAGGGTGAACAAAATGATTTATTGAGGTCCAGTCTTTTATGGCAGGTTTAAGCATGAATACTGGAGTATACATTCCTAGGTAATGTTTTTGCCACTGTGCTTATTTTCATTGTTTCAGGCAAAACTGTCACGTTAAATGTTGGGGTTTTCCCCACATTGACCTGATGGGAATGTCAGAATGTATCAACATTTCATTATTACATTTAAAATAATTTCTAATATTTCATTGCCCTCTGCATTCCCTGTTTTGCCAGCAGAATGTTACCAATTTGTGCTAATCCTGCCAAACAGAAACCGACCACCCAAGCTATTTTTTAAGGACTAGGACCACCTTATCACTGACAATACACACCTGAAAAAAATCCTTTCACCCCAAATGCAGCTGCCACCTTGCACAACCCAAGTCCCATTTTGTTGTTTGCAGAATATTCCTTTCTTGCCACTTTGTCAGATTGTTCTTTCAATACAGTTCTCCAGCTCACCCCAAGCATATCCAAAGTCCACTAAGAAATAAAGAAAGAACATATCATTTCACCTGAAACTTCTTTAAAGATGTTCCACTCTGATTTGCTGTTATCAGCTCTGCTCTGCTAAGGTTGCCTTCTCACCATCAGCTTCCAGAGGACCCTGAAGCATGATCTCTGCAAGGCAGCGAGGCTCACACAGCTGCTGGCCATTAATCATGCAAGATTCTGGTCCA